TATAAACTGAAAAGAAGAATGTATTTAATACACCTGCTTTCTACCTGTCGCTGGTAACCAACTTCCCCTGTTCATCTTTTATGGGGCCTACATACTCTATCCTTACCTGTTTGCTATTTAAATATTTGTAGAATTGCTTAGGATTTCTTTTTCTTTCTGTAGCTGTGTGGTCTTCGTATTCTGTTTTTGCTGTTCTTATTGTGCTTTGGCATTTTTTGTTGCATTCCTTGTAGTACCAAAAGGAGAATGATGTCCCCTCTGTCTTTATATTTTTTAAATATCTTTTTCTCTTTTATATGGCCTTTTACACTACCAAATACCACCAGGTTTACCTTTTTGTTATTTTAAATTGGTTGGTTAATGGAATGCACTGGTGAATGCTGTTGTTTAATATGTCGTAAAACACTCCCATTTGTCCTCTGTGTCCTTTGTCAGTAAAATCTAGTCCCATTTATGCATCATCTGTGATATTTTCTAAGAGTACAAGGATATTTGCTAATGTCTGCTTTCTGTGTGTTACTTATGCTTGACCCCTGCACTTTGCATTACTTTCTTCTGACTCCTGCACTGTATGCATTACTTATTTCTGACCATTGCACCCTGTGCATTATGCACTCCACTCTACTCTGTATGTTACTTACTCTTGACCCAGGGCAGAGTAGGCTCAAGATTTATTTAGCCCTTTAAGCCCCCCTTATTGTTGTAATTTGTCATTGCATCATTACTCATGGTGTCCAAGGCATTTTGTATTTATACTTTGAATATCTGTCTATTCTTCCAAAATCTGTGACTGTTTGTCTACATTTTAAGAATAGAGTCATGATGTTGTGGGTGAGGCTACAAAGAGGACTGGTTTGGTAGGTGGGGGTCAAAGTTGGCAGTGTCCTCAGAATTAGTTTTGAAAATCTGGTAACCTTACAGTAGAAGCTTGGCAGTTTTTTTAAGTGTCCCATTTTCTTGCATTTATGGCACATGCTGCATAGTCTGCAATGTACTGGGTTGAACCATACCTGAAACATTACTACACTTTCTACTAGTTGGTCTCTTATCATCTCTGTTGGAGCACCAAACTCACTGATAACAACCAACTCGCTCAAAATTGCTACAGGTAGTACTGTGGAATGACCATTATGCTGTCCCCATTGCCAGAATTTATATTTTTCTGCAATCTTGTTTACTTTAGGCACAAAGAAATTTTGTATTGCAATCAGAACTGTATCATAAGTTTCATCTGCTGCTGGTAGAGTATAGAAAATTATGCTGTGCTTCTGCTCCCTGGCAGTGAATCAGTAAAGCACACTTTCATAGCAGTGTATAAGTCATCTTAACTAGGAGCATCATGAAATTCTCAAACATGAATCCAAGCAGTAAAAGGCATTGCAGGGTCACAAGGATGTGGAAGAAAAGTTAGCATAGCATAGAGATAGCATAGACATTCTTCTCGATAATCTTGTGTCCTGTAGTCTGGGAGGCAGAGTGGTTGTAGAGTGCTGTAATAACACCTTTGGGCAGCCAAACAACAGGAAAAGGAACTGGAACTACAGTAATGTGTACAAAGTATGGAAAGTAATATACATGTAACAACTGTAAATAGTGACATCTACTTGCCAGAGCTATAAATGCCGCATTAGTTAGTACTCTTGTGTACAGTGGTTTTCTGATTCATTGAAAAACACTGGGTGAAAAGCTTAGCATTTGACATGATAACATCTGCTTGTAATTAAAATATTTAATTATTTGATATGGAAGAAGCTGTGCATTTTGAGGATGCTTCTTGATTAAAAGCACCCAAAATGTACATCCAGGTTCAGACCTTTTAGTATTAACAGCACCAGGCTCTTGGTGCCAAAAACAATATTCTGGTTTGTGTATATGCAGATTTATTATTTTGTAAGTCAGGATTTTTTTTAGGGCATTTAGAAGTTGAAGATGTTCTTTGGTGTTCCAAAGGCTGCATATTGTCCAGTTCTATGAAATGGGTAACTGGGGTTTAAATGGCCAAAAAAGTTAAATATTAGGTAGAATCTGGTCAGGTGATTTGCTTACAAAGGGAGTGAGACCACTTATTGGCTGTGAGCTGATTACTACACTTGACACTGAGAGGTTTCAAGATCTTAACGTCTCTGAGTGATATTAGATGTCAACGGATGATCCAGCCCACCAGCATCTAGCAAAATGGAAAAATCAAATAAAAACAAATTAGATACATCTCTGCAATACATGTTCTTGAGTATAGCTTTAAGATTAAATCTAAAGTTGTAAATTGTATAGACACTTTAGGGTCCCGTTTTGGAATAATAGTCTCTGTACATGGAAACAGGAATAGTTTTAGGCCAGTTGCAATCTTTCTCTTTGGAAACATTCTCAAGCTAAAGTAGCCAATTATGGGGGGAAAAATAGAATCTGACAAAAACAATTGTGATTACTTTATGCAGTAATCCTATGATAAAATAGATGGTCTTTTAGAGGTTAAAAGTTTAGGTTAAGTTTTAGAGTAAAAAGTTAGGGTTAATATCACGCATATAACAATCATCATTCGATCCAACTGAAAAACAAATGTGCATTAGAAAAAGTACCCATACATTAAAGTACATCTAAAGGCTTGTGTATGACAATCTAAACATGACACAAATCAGTTACATATCATGCCTCATTAAGTAAACAAAAAAACCTTAATTTATTCTAATTTAATGAGCCAAATTCCCCTTCATTTGTGTGTCACATGCTCCCCCTTCCAGACACTGCACCTCGCAGTGGCAATGTTTCAGCAACAGAGGCAGTGCTGCCAATCCAGAAAGTAGTTGGCAGGACTAGGTGTGGCCAGGTGCTGATTGAAAATTTACAGGGTTGTGAATCAGTAGTGACAATACTGATAGCTATGCCCTTGTAAAAAAAATTATTTAATTGTAGTGCAAGCAGCCTACATGAGAGTGTCAGCTCTGTTCTGACTTCTGGAGCAGAGCATCAATGTTGTCCCCTTATCACAGGAAGCTGCAATTAGGGGGATTTTGCAGGATCGACAGATGTGTGTGTTGCTGGAGGACTAAGAGAAAACTGTCCAAATGTTCTTATATTTAAGTCATGTGGCACATATGTAATTAATGGTAGGCCATAGTTCTACTGTAACTTCTCTGTAATGTGAAAACCTTCCCATTTATTGTAAGTGATTCAGGCACATTTCTACAGAAATTCCATGTGAAATGAATCTGTGTTTCACTTTGATGTTTGTTCAGCTCACTATAAACAGCCTGGGGAGAAGATCTGTCATAGTTCCTAATTATATTTTAATGGACCAGAAAGAAAGAGAAACTAATATGAAATCTGTCTGTATTAAATCTGTCATATCCTGTAATAAGAGAGAGAGAGAGAGAAGAAAAATCTGCTCTGTTGTGGGGTATTTCTGGCTTATCTTGTACTTTGGTTCTTTCTCTAAGACAGAATATGTAAACATTTGTAGAGGATTAGCTGCGATTACAGTGCACTTCAACACTTTAGCAGGAGTCACCATAATTTGTTAATTTTATTCCTCTTTCTAACTCCAGCCAGAACTTTTTAAAAAGTGTAACATAAGAAAGCAGAAAATAAAGAAGCGATACAAACATTTCACTTAATATAATAATAACAAAATATAACCAAGTAAAGAGCACTTTAGCCATTAGGTAAGGGGTTATGTTATTTAGTAAGGGGTTAAGCGATGAGGTGAGTTGAGTACCACTTATTGCAAAAGTGTTATACAGTCATTAACCTTTTTATATATTCTTTCTATTTATTCAGTGTTTTAAAGTCGATCCAGCAAGCCCATGTTTTATGAAAGGAATCATAGTCCTCTGATTTCAAATAGGTGTGTTCCTCAAGAAGCAGTTTGATAAACCATTCAGAAATGGACGGAGTGCATAATGATCTCCAGTACTTGGGTATTAGCGATTTGGCAGCGTTTAGATTGTACAGGATCAGGGTGTTTTTGTACAGACCAGGTGAATCTGGAGTGAAATGACAGTCTGTGTCCAAATGCATGCGTCTGGATGGATATGCAGATTCAGATTCGCATATATGGTAGCTTGCGCACAGGCACATCCTCACATAGAGATGTACAGACGGCTGCATGCAATTACACGCTGCCATGCCACCCATCACATTGATGGAGAAAAAGAAAGGGCAGGAGTAGTAATATGTAGGAGTAATATGTATAGTTTACATATTTGAGTGCCCTGGCTTTCATGGCTTCTAGAGTTGGAAGATATGTAAATGTGTGTGCAGACTTCTCTAGGTACCATGTTTTAGTCACATAGCCAGTTTATCATGTTATTTTAAACTGATGGGTCTAATTTAAGACCTTGTTTACGCAGATTCCAGTGCAGATTTGGGTAAAAGGTTATGGAAAAATGATAATGCAGTAGCAAGAAAAGGCAAATTCCATGGAAATTAAATAACTGTTTATCAATATGTTAAAATGAAAAAACAAACAAATATTGTCTTTACCCCTTTTATACATAGAACTCATACAAATCTTTATCAGGAGGACATGGCCAGTCAGCTGAATGTTGCTCTTATTGGTCCATTTGGTGAGACAGTCATAGCATATTTGTGGACAATAGAGCAATAGCTATGAATTTTTTGGGGGCTAAAGTGAAAAATGCATCTGTACAATATGTAAAATGAAAAGTATGGGTTGCTGGTCAAAATACAGTCCCTCCTGTATTGCTACCTTACAGCTTGTGAGAGTTTACAATTAAAATGACACATTATGTATTACCTATACAATTGTCAGCCATTTTAATACTATGTATATGAATATTATGTGCACAGTTTCAGCAGTCCATATGATACCTTTCAAATACCCAATGTTTGCAGAGTTTAATGCAAAAGAATCTTTACAGAAGTTAGAATTAATTATTTTATAAGTTGCCAATGATAATTTTCTGATATTAACTCGTTTAAATATATTTAGCAGTAGATAGTTTTTAATGAACATCACCTTTTTTTTTTTATTTTTTTGTCAGCCTCAAGCCATCAACTAAACAGACATCTGGGACTCCTGTTTATTGGACTAAGCCTCTTCATATGACAGTGTAAAACAGACAGAGACTAAACAGTGATGTTCATGACGCTGGCAGGCCTGTGAAACTGGGTCTTTGCTCAAAGCTTGGCATGAAACGACCTGCCATTCTGCATGTTGGCACATTTACAGAGCCAAAAACAAACGTTTGGGAAGGACAGGTAGGCCTGTATATACTTGTCAGATCTGTTTGCCCTCTTGGGAACAGTGATACTGTTCAGAGCTTCTTGAAACCTGTGTTGGCCAATGATATAATTCCACTTCTGTTTAATACACTCCACATCTCTGTGTTTAGAAATGCGCACAAGTTATAACTGAAATGTAAACACAGGATGTATCTGGTGCATCACATCTGCTCCAAGTTCAGATGTTATCAGGCCATTAATTTTCTGTTTACGAGAATCAACAGATTGCTGCTTTCAGTTCCCCACTGTAAAAACATCTGCTTATCCCTCAAAATGCAATCTAAGTTATTGTATTTGTTATTTTTAGATGTCAGCATACAGGATCAGCAGTGGTAAAATATATTAATGTATTTATTCATTTATGTATTTAGATTCTTCATGGTCCAAATAACTGGAGGTAAAGTAGGCGAGTGCCTCTTCCCTATATACTTTGTGCTAAAAGATTTCCATCTTTCCCAGCTCCTCACAAGTATGGGAATTAAATCTCTTAAGTGATTAGTGTAAGACATTTCTTGTGGCAGCTCTAGTTAACAGGGTTATGGAGGTATAACAAAGTTCTGCTACTTTATTTAGGAAAACTAGTTAAAAGTAGTGGCATTCTTAAAATGTTATGCTACGTGTATGTTATGTGTATAGGGCTGCTGCATATTATAAAAGTCATACCTTGCAGCATGCTGGCTCGAACACAGTGAGGGGCTTCCAGGTGCTGTGAAAGGGAGAGATGCAGCTGGAGTAGTGAAAGACTCAATCCTGTCCCCAACCCCTGCTCACTGCTTGCCCAGTCACAATAAGCCCTGTATTTTTGTTACAGATACAAGGCATTTTGTGAATGGGGCAAGTGATAACGTTGCATCCCCACCCCCTTCTCTCATCCTCCATTCACAGAACGCCTCATATTCTGTAAAAAAAAACAAGGCTGTTTGTGAATGGTGGATGAGAGAAGAGGGGCAGGAATGCAATTTGAGCCTCTCACTACTGTAGCCACATCTCTCTCCTTCCTGCAGGACCCAGAACCCCAGCACTGTGTTGGAGCAGGTATGCTGCAAGGTATGATGTTTATACTGTGCAGCAACCCTCCACATATAGCATACACCTTATTAGAGCTGTATTACACACCTAGTGCTAGTTTAAAAAAACATTATTTTGGGGTGTTCAGCTTTGAATGTGTCTTTTTGTATATGTGGAATAGCTGTTTATTTGGCCAAACTGGTTTTCATGATGAGCATACATCTTACCAATTTAGTAAGACACAGTTACCAAAAAAAGGCTAAAAAGGGGCATATTTTTTCCCCATGAGCAGGGATTGATAGCAAGGAACTGCTTCCTTGGCTATGTGAAATGGGGAAAACATAGAAAAACCAGAGCAAAGAAATTGGTTTGTGTTTCCCAAAGGACGCAGTCATGTTTTGTTTTTCATATTTTCTGACCTGTACCATTTTTAAATGGCAACTGGAACATACTGGCTGCTATGGGTAGCATGTGCTGCTTCTTGGAGGCTTTTTCTTTTACAAATCACCCCAAAAATAAATTGTTGATATAATCACATATCCATTTACCTGAATATACACAAGTTTCAAGATTTTATCAGTTTATGTGATATTTTAAACATGACAGCATAGTAAGGTAGTTACATAAAATAGTGAACCTGAAAGCAATCTTGCATACACACAGTAATTGTGAGTTAATGGGGTTGATTTACTCTGTAGTGTGTTCCCTCCCAGCATGAACTATGGGTGGAATCTAAAAACCTTTGTAGTGTGTACACACCCAGCAGGTGTGTTGTGCAAAGCCCTGCATGATTTTCAAGGTGATGTTGTGTAAATTAGCTCTATGTTGTGTTGTTTGCGTTGATGAATGCAGGAATGTAAATGCATGAGCTAACCATTTTTGTCTAAACTGTGAAGCAGCATTATATATGCATCATGTGCATGATTTTTCCATATATGGCATTAATGGAAATATGCTTTTAGAGACTTTTTGGTTGATAAATAAGTTTTGCTGTGTGAAAATCACACGCACCTGGTGTGTGCGTGTGTTTAGGTTAGTAAATCACCCCCAATAGCTCTTTCATAGCATGTTTATTATGTAACTTTTCTGTTCTACATCTAGTTGTGGTATTTACTTTGGAAAAAGGGGTGATGAATGGATGCATTAAAGTGCATCTCTAACCAATATTTTTGTAGTTGGATGGAGCGGGTAATGGTTAGAGCCCCTGTCAAGTTTTTATTGTTGCCTGTGTCCCCATTAGGGATGTTTACTCTCTTTATTTGTCTTGGCCACCAATGGGACTGAACGGAGAGAATAAATATTGAGTTGAAGAGGAATACAGGGAAAATCTTCCATGAGTGAACACAACTGTCTGAGAGGGAAGTTACTTCACTTTGGAGAATTTTCCATTCAGTTCCTGTTATTTCACTGTACAGAAGTGAAGACCATTCTCCTCAATGGACACAGTTGGCTGAAAACCCTAACTGGGGTTTTTACCATTCCCGCACTACTGAAAATGAAAAAAATAATGTTTTGGAACGTTAGAATATGAGAGCTGACATTGCTTATTTGTTTTTTTAAAGTGCATGTTCTGAGTCTGTCCTTACTATATTTTCTGGAGCAAGTACTTGCCCTAACAACTGATATGCACATGCTAGGTTAAAGTCATTGACACTTGAGATCGTAAAGAAAAGATAAGGTAGACAACTTCAGAGCCTACAACCTCAAAAAAAAAGTCAGCAATAGCAGCTCCCATATTTCTTTCTCAAAACTTTCCTTTCTAAAGCCCCATTTACACATGTGAATGGGGCTGATTGCATGAGTCTCACAAATTCCTCCATAAAGCTGGCCATACACCTATAGAGTATCTGCAGATTTTCTATGGTCAGATAGAAAAAGTGCAACAGATTCCTCCATCTACGCTAAACTGTGTGGATGGAGGAATCTCCCGCTGGGCCAAAATTCAGTATCTTGTTAGTCTGCCCCGCTGGCTCTCAAAACACCTGAACAATGCCTGTATCCAGTCAGATTGTTCAGGTATTTTGAGAGCCGGCGTAACCAGAGTTATGGGCGCCCGGGGCAGACATTTGTTTTTCGTATTGTGTGGATGGAGGAATCTCCCACTGGGCCAAGCTCCAGTATCTTGCTAGTCGACACCGCTGGCTGTCAAAATACCTCAACAATATGATTGGATGCAGGCATTGTTCAGGTATTTTGAGAGCCACTGTGGCCGACTAGCAAGATACTGAAGCTTGGCCCAGTGGGAGATTCCTTCATCCACACAGTTTAGCGTAGATGGAGGAATCTGTTGCACTTTTTCCATCTGACCATAGGAAATCTGCAGAAAAACTATAGGTGTATGGCCAGCTTTAGACTCATGTACTCCGCTGTTGGCAGGATGTGCTGTACAATACAATGACAGCTGCCATTGCCCACAGCTGTTCCCAAGCTGTTGGTATATGACTGCACCTGCACGCAGTCTATTTGCTCCATCACAACCTGAGAACATGGCAGCGGTCACTGTATTGTACAGCACCTCCCACCCGCAGCAGATCACATGAATCTCATGAAGAAATCTGTCAGATTCATGCAATGGACCCCATTCACAAGTGTGAATGGTGCCTAAGAAGGCAATGCTGTGCTCAGAATCTTTTTGTTTTTTTCGTTCCTTTTAGTCCACCTTACCATAAATTGTTGTATACCATTTTAACTGAACACTTGTTATTTCCTTCTCAGGTAAAATGAAGGCACCATTGCTATTTGTCACATTAACTCTAATACTTGATTCATCATACACCGTAAGTACAAACTATTATAATTTGTAATAATAAATACAATGTTCCTGTAATGTTTGTTGTTATGCATTTACGCTATGATTTACCTCATACAGGGTTGGTGAATACTGACCAATTGAATTTTCTACTGACCCTAAAGTCTTTGGATGGATAGCAATGGTCATAGGAATTATCCATCCCCAGGTTTTTGGTCTCAAAGAAATAATGCTTAGTACCAGCCATTGGAGTCACAAATAGGGCCTCCTGGGCTCCAGACATACCCCAAGACCTGGTCTGTGTAATGATAATGTGAAGCCTCTTATTAATGCACATCTGCAGACAGGATTACTGTCATTGGGTAATTAATTATCACTGGCCACCCAGAAATGGATACTAATGTCTCTTACTGCCACTACCTGCCATCTCAGAGTCCGTGTTTTATACTAATGCTTCCAGCACACTAAAATAGCAGAAGGTATAATGAGAACCTTCCTGGCTTCACCTATCTACTGCAAGACATAAGAAAGATGGGTCCCTGCTGCCCAAAGACAAAATGCCTGTTGTTAATGTGGGAAATACTGCTCTGACAGACACAACACTGAAAGACACAAACACATTAATTGTTTTATATTTTAATCAATTTGCAGTTTTATACCACCAGGTTAGAATTATTACTCTTTTGGATATTTTCACTTGATATCTCAAATTGGTCATTAAATGCTCTATATGAAGTCACTTAAGGACATGATTTTCACTGCATGTGATCCCTGTTTCCTGTAGAATGTCACATCCTTGAGATTTTAATACTCCATAGACTGCTCTGAACAATGAAGTATTCTGTTTTACAAAATAATGTGTTTGTACAAATTCCAAAAAGTTTTCAATGCTTTCAGTATCACATTGGTTAACGTCTCTGTTCTTATATCCTCAGTATAATTGCATACTTAATTCCGTAAGTCATCCTATTGTCTGATTTCATGCCAAATATGAGATCATTTTGCCTATGGACGAAATGTCTACAAGTGTTTCAACTAAAACACGCTAGGGGCGTGCCTGTTTGCTGCTCATTTTTGATTGTTTGGGCTTGGTGTGTGATCTGTTTTATCTCCTGACAAATATGCAGATATATCGGTCTATATGTTGGGACAAAATTCTATTCAAATATAAACATTTGTAAAGATTATTCCAAAAAATATAAATATTTGCTAAAGGAGTTCATATTCCTGGACCATTACAGAGAAAAAAAAGAATTTCTATCATCTAACATTGCCATAGACTATCAGGTCTATTCACTAAAGGGTGAAGAGTTTGGAGAAGGCAGGAGAAGTGAACAATCTAGGACAAAATAGCCGATTTGGAAATATTCTCCAATTCAGCTCACTTTCCAGTTCAGCTATGTTGTCCTAGATTGTTCACTTCTCCTGCCTTCTCCAGACTCTTCACGCTTTTGTGAATAGACCCCTATATTTATGTTCTAAGCTGATTCTCTTGGTATCAGCCTTATCTTGAAGGATTAAAAAATATTCAGGTAAACCCAACTTTACCAGCTGACTCCACCAGGAATTAAATGTAGGTCACCCCATGATATCCATAATGATCTTACAATATGTAGACAGGCATCTTAAAGGAGAACGATGGGGTAAGTGTTTTTCCCCATAGTTCTCTTCAGGGTCACGGGAGGACATATACTAACCTCCTCCCGTGACCCAAACCTCAGTATATCGCGGGCTATTGCCCGCGATATACTGACAGCACTGCAGCCGGGATGGATCCCGACAATACTGTCGAGATCCACCCAGCTGCATGAGTGACAGCTGGCTCTGCCTATCTAGAGGCAGAGCCAGCTGTGCCGCCCCCTCCCTCGTTCATTCTTCCAGTCAGCACTAGAGGATTGGAGAGGGGAGGGGGGGAATCCCTGCAGAGTGCGGTGACGGTCACCGCTCACTGCAGGGAGACGTTCGGGAAGTGAGCAGATCGTTGCATGTTTCTGCTCACTTCCTGATCAATAGAGCCGACCTATGACAGCTTCTTTGTCACAGGTCAGCTCTAACTATGAGGATGAGTGAAAAGCACCTTTAAGGTTGCTTAAAGGTTTCTCCTTTAAGGCTGTGGGCACTGTATTTTCAAGACCACCACATATTTACTTTTTTTTATTAATAATGTGATTAATACATGCTTTTTTTTGTTTTCCCTGATATGCTCAGACACACACCCTCATACACTGTGAGCTCATGGATACTCAATATGCTCTTACCTCAATGTAGCTTTAGGCTGTATACCAATAATACATTGTGGCACATGGCCTATTCACAGCTTTTAGTTATGCTCAGAATTGTATCTAAGGTTGATGAAGATCTACCAATATAGTCACAATTCAGCAGCATGTCAGAACTGTTACTGCATTTTATCACCCTACATGATTAAGTGTCCATTGCTGTTTAGACCAAAAGTTTTATAGGCAAAATACAGTGTCTGGGAAGAGTTGAGGTGACTTGTGCAGAATAGCAAGGCACCAACCCAGAAGGTTTTCCTCCTGGTTTCAGCACATATGGCACATTTGTTAAATCTCTGGACTGTGTTCACTAGGTATTTTGGTTTCTTATACTGAATCTATCAGTTCCAAAAATCTGTATTGACTCGCTTTCAAAGAGTTACAAGTACTACAAGACGATTAAATAATACTGGTCTTCAAATTATGTATTCGGTCTCTGTGGAACTCCTTAGTTACTAGGCTGTTCTCTGGGTTTTACCATTTCTCTATATTACTCTATTAAACCATTTCCCTGACAGTGCTCAGCCCAACCCTCTGTCATTCACTTGTCAAATATTGCATTTGATCTGTGAACTATTACATTATATTTGATAGTTCATTTCCAGGGAGCAGGGCACATTGTCAACTTGGCTAGAAGATCAGTTTGTATTTATAATCCAAGGGGCAGCACAATAATTAATTTAAAGAATACCATACAGTAGGCACTTCAACATTGTTTTCAGTTTAGGTAGGCTAACATTGGCTATATCAGGTGGTAATCCTCCCTGTAGGCTCCAGCAGAGCATCTTGGGGAAAAAAGAGATAGATGATTTAGGATGAATGCTATTGGTTTTCCACAAGTTAAAGTGATATTAAAGTCAAACTTTTTTTGCTGTTTCAAATACTGCTTTTATCACTTACAAGGAATGGTGCACCTTGATGTTAAAAAAGTTTTAGTTTCCTGCAGAATTAGTTGGTCCCCTGAGCACTGGCCCTGATATCCTGTTTTAGGGCGTCTCCTTTCCCTTGCAGAGTCCTATGGAGCCACCCTTGTGTGTGCTAGTAAGCTGTGTGTTTCTTCACACATGATAATATCCCAATACCTCGCCGCACTCCTTACCGGATATCCCAGTGGGTGCTCGTAATCCAGATGGTGCCGCTTCCAATGAAACTTAAACATAGATGTCAGCAGCACACCAGGATACAGCTTGGATATCAGAGCGAACCAGACCATGTCTGAGTGACATCCATCAATAAAATGGATTTGCACTGATATTCAAGCTGTATCCTAGTGTGCTTGTGACATCTATGTTTAAGTTTCACTAACACATAGGCACAGAAAGACGAAACACTCCCCCGCGCCCTGCTTCTCCTGCCTCCCTCCTCCAACTAGTAGATGGACAGTTGCTGGAGATTTTTGTGCTGTCCCTTGTGATCTTGTACTAGATAGGAAGTTCAGCGAAGACACGCTCAGAGTGTTGGAGCCAGGGTATGATTCAGCTTGTCCCCTTCTTGTAAAAGCATTGTTGCATAATCTGCTCTTTTAATTTGTGCAAAAACACCCTTCTTGTAATATTTTGCAGGCAAGTAAGAAGAAAAGGCAAAGTGATTTTTGGGACAATTGGAGTGACTGGGGAGATTGTAGCCGAACCTGTGGAGGCGGTGTAAGTTTTAGAGAACGACAGTGTTACTCTCGCAGGTAAGTGGCTACATTTTGAAAACATTATTTCAGTTTTAAAGTCCATTTCCCCCTTTGTAAGTGATTACCATTTATTGTGATGATGTATACATGTGCAAATTTTCATGGCTCACATTGAAGGCTTTCTTCATTTTTTTTTGAAGGTTTTATTAGGCCTGAAGCTTAAAAATTCTGAATTTTGTCTACAGGAAAAGCAGTCATACACCAGGGTGTCGGACTGTAATCAGCTGTCCCCTTCCCTGTCAATTGTAACATGATCAGTAAACACCAGCTCTGCCTTTACACACAATACACTGTCCAGAGGGGGAAGACACGCACAAAATACTTGAACAGAACAGAGGCAGACATTTCCATGTAGATATGAAGAGGAAAGCTAACCAAAAAGTATGTTTCTGTGTTCATACACATCAGCTGCATATGTCTGCTTCATATACTCTCGGTGTAGGTTGTCTAGCTGCTAAAATAACAAAGTTATACCCACACGAAGCTCTAAGCCGGCTAACTGTCACAGCGCTCCATCCTGCCTGTCTCTTCTTCCGCTGCAGCATTAGAATGTTTCTCGGCGTCCTCTACATAGTGTATAGACGTGAGGATTTACTGGACTTTAGAGCGCTGCACAACAGGGGGAGAGAGAGGCTGAAAGGACCACTCTAAGAACAAGCAAGCTCAGACCATCAGGTGAATATAACTTTTTTTTAACCTAGACACAAAGGATCAGTTAACCCTTGCAGTGCGGGGGTCGGCCCACTGCCAGGGTTAATACATGTCATTTTTTTCCTGGAGTTCTTTAAGTCCGATGCAGCCAGAGAACTAGCATTTTCATAAGGAGACCTGCAATTGCAATACCCCCATGCTTCTTTTATGAAAGAGTCACTTTGAGCTAGCTATGATTTGTGCAAGTGCTGCCCCTGTATGCCTTGTGTATGAAAATATTTATCCTGATCATAGCTTTATTATAAATATGTTCTCATCCCCACCCAAAGTAATGAGGAATAATTATGTATTATTTCTTATGAAAATAATAGCTTCATTAAAAGGTATTGGTAGTTAAAAATGGAGCATAACGTCAGATAACCCCATTATCCTTATGAAAAAAAAACTGCATGACCTTTTCTGTGAAAACATACTTTTTTTTTAAAGCCTTCCTATAATTGACACCTACAATCTCTTCAGCAGACACTACACCTTACAATCTGGTTATACAATCTAATTTGGATCTAGCAGCATCTGTGTAGTAGATAGGCATGTTTGACCGCAGGGATTGCTTACATAAGCCTTCATATCACATTGTTTTAGTACATTTAGAAGAGGCTGTGCAGAGGTTATAAAATCATATTGTTGCATGTATTGTCCAAAGAAAAGAAGTACAGCTCCCATGGTATCAAATAAACTTTTCTTATTCTGCTATATATGAATTGTGCATCTACAGCATGGTGCACTTAGACGGGTGGACATACACAACAATTTAAATAGTGTCAGGTCCTAAGCCTGCTATCCCATTACAAGAAAGTGTTAAATTATTGTTGCTGTGCATGTTTACACTAATATGTTATATAGGATTATGCCATGCAATAACATCATCTTCAGAGCACAGTGATGCCATTGTATTTCTGAAATCCTATCTGGTGCTATGTTGTATGAGAGGCTTGTGGCAGTACATGCCAAGTATACTACATAAACATTACACCCACATGTACCTGCACACCTAAGAGCTGGTAAGTAAAAGACTCTGCATTCTTAATTACAGCATAGTAATACTTTCCATCTCCCACATAAAAGATGCACTTTAAGAGATCCCCTGAAGCCACATTCCTCTGACAGGGTTCTTATGGAATGCTTAGCCCTATGAAGTGCGAGCTCTGTAAGCCCTGTTGTATATTTGTCTGTTTGCCTGAAGGAATGGACTTTTATTACAGGATTGGCTTTTTCTATTTAAGCTTTTTATTTAAAATATAAAGTCTACCTCTATTTTAATTATTAGGCTATTAGTTATTATAGTCTCCTGCACTGTGCTCCTTGACCTGAATCAGTCACAAACAAATGGATTCAGTGATAAGAATAATTATTTTAATATATACTTTGCGTTTATTATTATTACAAAAAAATCTAATTCTTTATTTGCCATCACATGTGTGCCATTCTGCTGGTGGTGGGTGAAGACTGTTAGCAAGGCCAACATAATGGCCGGAAGTGACATACTCGAGCTGTACGGGGTGATTACAACAGGGCACTGTTAGAGTATCCTCAGGAATGACAGGGCATGTGCACTGGAGGAAACGCTGACGTATGCAAAGCTCAGTGGTATGGGGGCACTTTCAGTTGCCAACAATGCTAAGCCATTCTGCATATGAATGGGAGATATGGAGGGTTATTGGCAAAGCACTGGCTTTCCCATTTTTTATGGAGAACTGGCAGGATCAACCAGTACTAATTTTTATTGACTGAACATACACAGGGCTATTCACAAAAGGGTGAAGAGTTTTTAGAAGGCAGGAGAAGTTAACAATCTAGGACAAGTGAACTGAAAAGTGAGCTGAATTAGACAATTGTTCAAAATCAGCTATGTTGTCCTAGATTGTTCACTTCTCCTGCCTTCTAAAAACTCTTCACCCTTTTGTGAATAGCCCTGTATGTATATAAGTGTTTCATTTGCTACACCAATGCTTTCTGTCACCCCTACAAAGTGAAGGCAGCATTTCTTTAGGGGAAGTCAGCATATTAGTGAGCAGCATCAGTGGCGTAACAACCGGGGGGGCGGCCGGTGTTAAGAAATCTCCTAGGCAGCAAAATTAAATATTTATTGCAGCACTCAATCTACTTGGTCGCTTACACTGTAGACAAGATTTTGGAGATTTAATAGTGTCTTGTCCTAAATCCAGGGTGCTTGTCCTAATTCTTGTGAGCTGAGAAAGTTTCTATGTGTCTTGTGTGTTACCTCAGTTCACATAATGTGCACATACTTAAACATGTTAGAACTGTATGAGGATGCACCATCTCTGTTCTTATAGCTGTGCTGAATCAGCATACATTCAGAATCCTTAAGACAGAAGTAGCTTAAGGATTTTCTTTCAATGCCACAACTACATCCAAGCTCTAATTCCCACCACTGTATAACAATAATTTTAAAAAAAATGTTCTTTTTTTTTCTTACCATCTGGTTTTCCCTGATTGCTTTCAACAAAAATACTCCTGCACAGTCCCCCTTTTCCCTTGTGTCACTTTTCCTTTGAAACTGTAAGTTTTTGGGCAGGGTTGCCATTCTTTGTTCTATATTTTATTGTAATTATTTATGCATTTTCATACTTTATATAACACCATGTTAGATGTTCTATATACAATGCCTCTATATATAATTTAAATAACAATAATGATTTTCTCAGCACAACCTGAGTACAAAACTATGTAGATTGCTCATTTTAATGGACTTGCTAGTGAACAGACATGTAGAATCATCATCACCAAATATTCTTTTAAAAATACAGTAGATTGCTAACTTACATATTGTGGACTATGCAGAACTGATGTAACAGTCTACAATATTAATTAGAAGTAAAAACATATCTTAAGTTAAATCCAGGGTAAAGTAGTTCTAGAGGTATATAAGGAAGAGGTATAAGTAGAATTTTCGAGAATGATCGTAAATGTACTGTATGTTCTCTAAGTTTTAGTGATAAACATTCTTAGGGTTTCCTGTGGACCCTTTCTCAGAGATACTGTAGCTTCATCCTTCGAAGATAAGTTCACATCACCCATGACTTTCCAAAATAAAACCAGTAATATCATGAAACATATACAGTTACCCTTTTGACTTCATCCCCTGCAGATCCCTTTGCACCCCTAACTCCGTGTCCTCCACTGACGCTTGTTCTTGTTCGTTTAGCAAAGATGGTTGAAAGCTTTCATGCCAGCCATTGGCAGATGGACTAATGCTTCTCACACCCAAACCTTTATCCCTGGCACACCACCAAATACACCCAAACTACATTTTCTCTACGGTAGGTGTACTCAATCTACAATTCGCTTACACACACACTCACACACACTCACACACACTCACACACACACACTCACACACACTCACACACACACACTCACACACACTCACACACACTCACACACACTCACACTCACACACAC